CCATCACATGTTTAACTCTAATATTGTGTATATTTGTAGGTCAGTCTAGCAACAGCAAAACTCTGTCAGCCTATCAAAATTAGCCATTTCTTCTCTTGTATGTTTGGGGGACAGTAAAAGTATAAACAGCACGATATAATGTAATAGGTAAGTACAGTTCCACAAAACCTGTTGCATATCTGAACAGTTGCACCTGGCTGTCAGCGACACAGCGGTAGATGGAAAAGCTGTGGATGACCCCGTCCGGGGACTGTACTTTCCCGTTTTTTGTCACCTCAATCTGCACCAGCTTTCCAAGAGAGGTGGGACAGGACACACATACTTTTGACTCGTACAAGCATATGTTTATATGCACCATGTTAAATTTTATTTCTTTAGCACATAAAGTTTACTGAAAGAAGCTTGATTGAAAGTTTTGTCTGACGATGACACAGAGCTAATACTAGTTATTTCTAACAAAACATATAGTTATTGCTCTGTAGATCAATTGTCACACAGCAAACATATCACAAAAAGAACAAACTGCAAATTAATTAGCAGTGAATGTGTGGCACTGGGTGTTTGAGAAGACGGAAATATTAGCCCCCCCTATTTTTTGGAATTCAGTAAAAGCTAAGGTCTCAGAAACATACTATTTCTTTGTCACTTATACCTGTATCATTCTGTCATTAGGACTTTTACTGGGATGTGTGGTTATTTTTCGCGCTTCTATTGTTAAAATGGCAGAGCTCATTGAAATAATTCTGCTGACTAAGGCTAATCTAAAAGACACTCTGGTTCTATGAGAGTTGGTTAGTTTTATATTGAGGGAATGGTTATAGCAACATATTTGAGGAATGAGCTAATTAGATGTCCTACTGCTATTTGAATGCTAATCGCTGCTAGCATGCTAACGTATTAGCTTATGTTATTAATACCACATGTTATCCCTCTAAAGCCACTGGGTCAGATGAGAATGTTTTAAGCTATATATTTTACAAAATAAGAGTTCAGTCAGTATTCACTGTTGATGTTTCTTTGTTATCATTTCTGTGAGAAATCATGTGAAAAGAGAATTTAGACTGGTATGTGTGGCGAGAGGTAGGTGGGATGTGGTTTAAAGTTTACGTGGACATTAACCAATAGTCAGAGCACAACAACGCTACCTTAGGAATTTCACCTAAAGATTAAGTTTTGCCCACACAGTATCAAGGATTCATAGGACACTCAGGTTCATAGTACAGATTAGCATGAGATGTGGTTCCAATACAAAAACAATCTTTATTATTACACAATAGTAGTTCACAGATAAGGTCAAACACGAAATACTAAAAAGAGCCGTATACATTTATTTAAAAGAGGTGGAGGACTGGGGCTTACCACTGGCGAGGTGGACCAGTGCAGGTGAGGATCCCAAAAGAGGAGGCACCCCGATCACACGTGTACACAACACTCACACACACACAACCACACGTGAGGGTTCCTAACCAGGGGCACACCAAACCACACAGCACATGAAGGGAGACACCAACACCCGGAGGCACCAACCCCACCACCTTGGCTTGGCTGCTCCTACAGGGACAAGGAACACAATTGCAAAAGGCTCTGGTTCTCAGAAAGGAAAATCAAACAAAGGAAAAAAATAAGAAAAGACAAAACAACCAAAATAACTCCGGTTAGCTGATCAGCCAGGGGGGATGATCAGTTACCCAATTTATATCAACTAAAAGCCAGAGTGGGCCTTAACATCCCTTGTCAGAATACACATAGTAGAATGGCTCAAGCTAAAAAGAGGGTTTTCTCATTAAAACAAGGGTGCTGCTGACGGCAAACAGCACAGAACCGGAGTGCAGTGCTGATAATAGCAGCGTCAGACCGTCAGAAGGGTAGACGAAACCCAGTAGGCCAAAGCCGTTAGTCCAACACAGCCGGAGGGAACACGCCGGTAGGCAAAACACCAGTAAGCAAAATACCGGAAATCAAAACAGCAGCGTCCTTAAACGTTTGCTCTGAGTTATATTTGTTATAGAGTAGCTAACGTAAGTACAGCGGAAGAAAGCCGTCAGTACATGATGAGCGAAGTGTCATCAGAACAGAGAGCGCTTCTGACCTGACCTGATGTATTTTCATATATTTACAGGTAATTAAATGTGTTTCACTAGAGTGAGCTTCGTGTCATTCTTGGTCCGGAAACAAATGGCTACAACACAACACATATGCTGTAGAGTTGTCCCAGAAAAAATAACAGATGAAATCATTCTTGTGTTGAAAAAGCAAATTTAAGATGTGGCTTATGATTTAAACAGCACATTTTTAGTTCAGTTAAATCAATCAGCATACAACGATCACATGCAGTGTTGAATTTGGCCAACATCTGTGGAGGTCACACCTTCTAATATTCAAAGGGCCACACTATTTTCTACCACCTTTGGATCCAGGTATGTGTATGGGACGTCCATATTCTTGTTTCTGTCTGCGATGGCCTCACTTAACACTTGAAGCTCTCCTTGGAAATCCTCCATCAGCTTGCAGGGCATCGTCTCACTAAAATGCTCCACTGGGTACTGGCCAAGAAAGACCTGATGACATTAATGATACATTTAAAAAAGAAATGTTTAGAATGTTTTAAAACAGACTTTTGGCAATATACAGTAATGTACAGTTTCAGTTGGGGGGACTCAAATGACCTAAACTTAAAACAACTTAAACATGAATTTAATTTATGTGATTAAAGACTTGGGCACTTACAGAGTCAGTGGACTGCTTGCTGAGTAGCCACATGGTGGACATTCCCTGAACCGTTGCATTGATAGCAGGGAATGTCTTCAGCATCGTGGCCTCACTTGTTGTCCCCTTTGTGGTTGGTGGAGGACATTGTAGGGTGAAGGGAGTGTTGGGCATCCAGCCACCGTAGTCAAACTGTGAAGAATGAATGATTGACAGATGACTGATTAATACAGTATGAAGCTACGCCATGTATCAGTCTGTCTACTACTTTGGTCCACACTGAAATATTGGATTGGAACAAAGACATTCATGGTCCCCAGAGGATGAATCCTAATAACTTTGGTGATCCACTGATTTTTCCTCTAGTGCCGACATGAGGAGAACATTCTTGGCTTTCAGAGGAATGTCTCGAGAACTTTCAGCTGGATCGTCATTAAATTGGTTCAGACATTCATGTTTACCTCAGGACGAACTGTTATAATCTGTGATCCTATGACTTTTCATCTATCAGATCAAAGTTTTTATTTGTCCAATACTCTGTCTTATGACCAATTACCTTTAAAACTAATGACATTCCTACCAGCCTCAGCTGTACTTTGTGTTTTGTGCTGATTAGAAAAAGCTTGCTGATGCTGGCATGTTAACATGGTAAACAAAGACTGTGATCTTATCAACATTATACCTGCTAAAAGTTAGCATGTTAGCGTTGTCATTGCAAGTATGTTAGCATTTGTTGTTTACAGCTCAAAGCATCACCGTGCCAAATTGCAGCCTCACAGTCCTGCTAGCATGGCTGTAGACTCTTGTTTATGTTAGACTTGCTAACAGTAAAAACCTCATTAACCCATTCCACAAAAGGAGCATTATTGTAACTGATTTAATAGGCCGTACCTGTCCAGCATTCACAGCCGCGTGCTGTCCTGAGCAGGTGAAGATCACCATGGTGACAAACTTGACCAACTCAGCCACGGTGGTGAAGCTCTCTGGAATTCCTGACAATTAGAGGGAATAAACTGCATTTAAGATGTCTGGAAGACAACATTTAAGTTTGACTTCTGTTTGCATTAAAATCATATAATGGTTCATAAATGTGCACATTCATCATCATTAAGATGTATCTTGTCTTTATGCCCACCTGTGCAGGCTTGGGAAAGGAATCCATGTTCAAAAATGTCTGAAATCCACTTTTGTAGTTCACAGTCTTTCTGGACCTCAGTGTTATTCTTGTAGTAGAAGCTCAGCACTCCCTGCACAAACCTTTGATAAATGTGGATAAGTTCTGTTAAACACATTCCCAGTTGAATTAGGCATTTTTTTTAATACACACTGCAGTAGTAAGACATTTTGTAAGACAATTTAAGGCCATCTCTTTAGAATGATCAGTTCTGTTCTTTTTAAGAATTTGCTGCAATAGCTTATTCAACACAGTAGATCAAACAACTTTAAGGAAATAATGTGACATTTTCTGAAACTTGCCCATTGTCTCTCTTGTTGAGAGTGAGATGAGAAGATCAATATCACTCATATTTGTGCGTTAAGTATAGCTCTACAACCTGGTGGCAATCAGCTTAGCTTAGCATAAATACTGGAAACAGTTAGCCTGGCTACCTTCATATAGTTAAAATATACCAACCTCTAAATTTGATTAATTAACACATTGTATTTATTTAATTTAAACTATACACAAATGGAAAATATATTAGTTACATGCCGCATTTTATTCTTGGTAAACAGTAACCAGGTGCAGGGACTTCCTGGAGTCTTCTGGCTCTCTGGCAACCTCACAGTGACGACAAATAACCAGGATTAAACAAACAATATAAAATGTTGAAGGTGCTTTACAGGCGTTGGGAGGCCTATTTTTGATATTTTGAGAGATCTTCCAGTCTTTGTGCTGAGCTAGTATAATCACCTCTTCATTGTAGCTTCATACTTAACACACAAACATGAGAGTGGTATTGATCTTCTCATCTCTTGGAGAGAAAGTGAAAACTTGTATCTCTTTAATTGTTGAATTATTCCTTTTAATTAAACCCGAAAATAAATTTATATTTCAAATTCTGTAATTCCATTACAGTGCCCTCTGTCATAATACAAGTTATTACATTCAGACATCACCTGTCTTTGTGTCAACCACACTAATGATTGCTTTTTATTGAAACTGATGCCTTAAATGTTGAAGGGTAGGGATGCCCCTTCTCTAATCTCACAGAAGTTCTCGATCAAAGTAGTTCAGGCTGTTTCATTCAGAAAACTTTACAGCTAACTGCCAATCTACTCAATCAAGAGGCAAATCACTCATTTACTGTATTGTCATATTTTAAGGCATTGTTAGTCTAACTTGCAGCAGTTTCTCTGGTGACTGCTATGGAGGATATGTTTCAAGTTAAACTATTAGTAGGATATTGCATTAACATGGACTAACTGAAAGAAATTATGCAAAGAATCTGTTTGTAAAGGGCAAAATAAGCTGTTGCAGCTTAACTGATCCTTTATGAGAAACCAACAGAGTTACATAAGATAATAAAAGCTAGTAGAGATGGGAGGATTTAGAGCTCTTGTTTTCCAATACCAGGACACCTGTACTACCTGTGGATGATATCCCAAAGCTTGAGTCCATCATCCCTGTAGTAGAAGTTCGGTACATCCTCCAGCCCACGGTCAGCAATGTCGTCTGGTATGCAGAGGGAGCGGTAGGTCACTGAGGACAGTGATCTCTTCAGGAGTGTCTTCACACCCTTTCCACCTGAAGCTGCAAACTAGGAGACATTCAAATATGTAAGGATTATAGTTAGAGATAAATAATATACATGACATTGAAAATATATGAATTGTTTTAGGTATTTAGGTGTTTGTCTTTTCGTACCTTAGTGAAAGATCCAGTCTTAGATATTAGAGAACTTCGAGCTAAGTTGTTGATGTGTAGAGTGTAGCGAGTGTGAGGTACAAGGAGCTGAGAGAAAGAGGAAAACTGTTAACTTCATAGCACACAACTTGATGCTTCTATACCATTCAGCCGTGTCACATTTTTTTGAATATATACACACTAACATTATGATTCATGATCTTTGGAAGACACAAAAATCAGCAACTTGAATAAATGACAACTCCAGTAAAAGTTCTGTATTCTCCCTTTCAGTTACCTTGTACAGCGGATGCACCATGGGCATGTTGCGCAGCAGTGACACTGCAAAAACTTCAGCCAGCAAATGAGTGCGCAGCAGGTGAACGCTGATTTGATGCTCGTTGAAATCTGCACTTCTCACAAAAATCTTGGCCGTCAACCAGTCGTACTCAGAGTCAGTAGGACAGAAAATGGGATTATCATCTGCTGGAGTCTGCTTCAGCTGCAGGAGAAGGAAGGGAGGTGTGGTTAATTCAATCCATTCAATATATTACCAGTCGTGGACAATACCGTTAAAGGATTTTCTGAAATTGTTGTATGTTTACTTTAGGTTTCATCTGCTTTTCAGTTAGATGCTCTGTTGATCTCTAAGAGCAAATTCATAAATTCTTTGAATCCCAGGTCAGAGCACAGGGTCAACTTCAGAACAAAAGCCCGACTTCAATGATCTAATGCCTAAATTCTCATGTTTTTGGCCAAGGGAAAAGGGAGACAATCTGGCAATTGCAATGAAAAGACTTTATATAATGTTTTTTCTCTGATCCACATTATTCATATACTGTATGTTTGCACTCTATTTGTGTAATTTAACTAAAGGTATTTCTGTCTTCTCTGTACATATGACATCTATAGTATTGTATGTCTGTCAGTCCTGGAAGAGTTATCACCACAATAATATATTTGAGTGTTAATCTCACCTGAATAGCAATTGGCATCAGCTGATCATCAGGTGTTTTGTGAAGCAGGACGAGGGGAGCCATCAAGTACTGCTTGTTCCCGTTGATGGTGTTTGTTTTCAGCCCATCCAAACGCTTGTAGTCACACAGGAATATGTTTCCTTTCTGTTTAAAATTGTATTCACATGCATACAGTGTGAATATTAATTATACTAAGTGAACGGAACTGAATGTAAGTGCAACATGCTTTTTCAAATTGAACATGTCTTGGAGCAAAATATGACAAAGATCAATCAAAGTCAAGATATTCACCTTCATTTCATCTGCCAAGCTGCGATGACAACCGAAGGAGACCATGTCATCACTGACAGGAAAGTTCTTGGGCAGGACTGAACAACAACGTTGGATCAACATGGGGTTCAGACCGTTTAGAAACTGGTAGCCAAAGAAAGCGTCCTCCTTCCAATGTTTCTGGACATATTCTATAAAAAAAAGTTGAACTTCATTGAGTTATACATTTTGTGCTAGAAAATCTTCCTCTATCACAGTTATCAGCTTCACTCTACACTGTATGTGAAACTGGAAAATGGGAAACAACGTGTTGCAGAGTGCGGTCAGAGACATGGTTGGACACTGTTATGTATCAAAGTCTTGATTGTATGCAATTAAATACTGTTAATGGATTCCTTCTGTGACATTTTTTCCCTGTGTATTAAGTTTAGTAATAAAAAACAATTATAACATGTTTTAGGTAGCATCATGTATATCCGAATGAACATAGTTGAATGTACTATCATGCATACAGTAAAAATATTTCATTAAACTACCATGATAGTACCTGATATGTCAGTTAGTTTGGAGCAGGACACCCGATGGATAGTATCCATATCAGGCCAGTTCTCCGGGGCGTCAGATAGTCCGGTCAGTTGCAGCTCAGACATCCTAGAAAATAAAAGCATAAATGAACTTTATTATTATGTCTTGAATCATTTTCATCGGCAGGTACAGTTACATAGATAGATATCTGACAGAATTGAAGACCTCACCCAGTGGATGCTGAGGAAAAAAACTCTGTTGACTTGATGTAGGAGAACTGGACCTCATCAGGCAGATCAAGAGGGCCCTCTGACCTCATGCAGTGGGGTATTCCCTCTAGATACACATCCCAACTGGTAAATAGAGAAGAGCTGAGTAATGAGGAACTTTGCACAGATACCAGTGTATAAGCAGTTTTAATTTAATATGTAAGCATAATATACTTAACTTGACTTCAAAATTGCAATTTTGAAAAATACATTTCAACAAACCCTGGCAGGTGTAACAGTGTCATATGGTGGTTAATTTTCACCCAAAAGGAATGTTAGTTTTGGGATGCATGAAGTTAAAAAGTGTATAAGCTCTGATTGCTCACCGATAGTCTTCCTCTCGCTCCGCCAGCTCCTGATCCCGACTGTACTTGCCAAGAGGATGGTCGTCTTCAAAGATTCTCAGAGCTTGAAGAAAGAAATTTCAACATGGTTTTAAATCGTTGATAAATGCAAGGAGTTGTTTACTCCAGCCTCCTTATAGACCAGCATTTCCTTATTTTAGGTCTTCTGTGGTCAGTGAACAGTGTACAGGATGTCTGACAAGTCTAATTCACACAAACCTGTTCCCTCTCTGAAGCGGTGCACCTCATTTTCAGTGATCCAGCGGTAGATGGGAAAGTTGTAGGTGTCACCCTCAGGGGATTTCACTTCCACCTTGGCAGGGAACCAAGAGTCTGTAAAGAACATGAGAGGATGTTGCTCTATCTCAATCAGGACCAGCTTTCCAATGGAGACGGGGCAGGACACAGAACAACTGGCCACCTGGAGTAATGACAGAAATGGGTTGCGTATTTGATAAGCAAGAAGTGAACTGTAACATTTCAATAGTTAGCATACAATACTGAATGTAGAAGGATGGACACAATAAAATGTATACAATGCATGAATATAATATTTATTTGGAGCTCGTATGGACTTTTTTTGTTGCTTTGGTCACCTTTGAGGCCGTAAGTTAAAGAGTTACAGAGCAGCACATATCCTGTTGCTGCACAGTGTGAGTTGACGAGGGTTTACATCAGCTTCTCTAAATTGATATTCAATTCAATAATCTGAAGTTGAAGAAGAGTGTTATACATTAAGAGAAGGATATTTCAGACTTACTGCTCCTCTGATGAAGGAAAAAGGCCCTTTGCAGCTCATGAGCCAGGTGCATGCACTCTCCCCATCTGTGCCCACCAGCTTAATATAGATACTGTTAAAAGTGCCGGCATAGGCGAGATCGCCAGTGTATACGTTCACTGTATAATTGACCATTTTCACACTGGCAAGCAGAGGAATCCTGGTGGGGAGAGAAAAATAATAACCATTCGAAGTACTGATCAGGTTAACTGTTACCAGATGAACCTTCGTGCAAAGAAACTTTAACATACTCGTATCACAATTAAAATGGCATGAGCAAAAGATATAAGAACTAACATCAAATGTTTTTTTTCCTTACCAATCTATTACAGTCAAATTTTTTTAATCATTTAAGGAAGCGTCTCTCTTACCTGTTTATGAGACCAAAAAGTTCCTTTGATGAACTGTTCTCTTGATGTCTTCAAGTAATCAACACTGATTTCTCATTTTATACACAGTTTTGTGGGAGTGTCAAGTCAGTATCAAAAATAGTTACTTCTGGTGATGGAATGTTGGACATGTATGAACATGAAGATGAGGCAATGATGATGTTGTATACTGCTGCATTCACACCAATTTGCGTCGCATTTGGTGTGAACGCAGCATTAGACAATTACCATTCCACTTATCTGCCCCACTTGCATTTTTTACACTTTTTACAACTTTGTCTTTATTGAAATGTGCAGAATAAAGTGATACAGAGACTGTGACCGTGGCTCACTGGGTAGAGAGGGCGTCCGGTAACCGCTTGCAGTTCGATCCTTGGCTGAGACGTGTGTCAAAGGAAGACACTGAACCCCCGTGGGCTGCCCCACAGGGATGGGTTAAAATGCAGAGAATAAATTTCCCCACTGTGGGACTAATAAGAGATTGTCCTTTCCTTTCCTCTGGAATGACCTTCCTGCTTACATCAAACAGTTGAGGCCTTTAAATCCTGACATAAAACTCTTATTTTGGTCTTAACCTTCGGTTATTTACTTTTTCTTTTCATTACTTCAGATCTTGTACCAGTTGCCATGATCCTTCCAGCAGGTCATTGTGCAATTGTTACCTGGAGGAGCCATATTCTAATATTCCCAGATGTCCCTAACTCTTCCCGAGGTGGGAGTTGAAGCCAGATGTTCCCAGTTCACCCTCGTTACACATTTGGGTTTCCCAGGTCTGTCCGGCAGCCTCCCCGCCATCTGATCCAACTCACCACCAGGTGGTGATCAGTTCTGCTCCTCTCTTCACCAGAGTGTCCAAGGCAACGTACCGGTTGCCAGTGATGCAATTATATATAAATAATAAATCATGAGCTGTCTGAGTCATGTTCAAACAAATGTTTTTTGTACCTTTTGTCATTAACCTTTCAACAGCTCAGTCATTGTGCAATCATTACCTATCGGAGACATATTCCAAAGATAAAACACACCATGATTACCTTTAATGTCATTCTCACACTCAAACCATGAGTCATATTCCAAAGAAAATAATATAATATCTTGCCAAACCTTGATAACCTTTAATTAATATTATAAAACTAAACGTCTAAACTCCTGCCAAATCAAGCACAAAAGCTTCTTTGCTCCACAGCTCATGTGCGAATTGATATTTTTCCAAATGCCGTGTCAAAACAGATAAAACACACC